ATAACTTAACTTTCTTACAGCAAATAACAGTCTATGATTTTATGAAGCTAAGTAAGCTCTGAGCTTACAGACACTGATGAAATATCCTTACTTGGTTTCAGTTCAAAAGAGCCAACAAGAGAAGGTCTACTAAATTTAGACTCTGAGCTGATTTCATCACTAACCTGTCCTCCTGACAGAGGTCTCTGCGGACAGAAGAGAGAAGGCACGGGGGACACCACACTGGGCTGGGATCAACCTATTTAACAGGCCCAGATTGCTGCCAAAAATGGTCACAAAGAATGCTCTGCTGGGCTCAGAGCCTGCATTACAGGTCCTGGGCATGGCTGACAGCCACACCTTTGTGAATCTTAGAGCATAACTGTAAAGCCTAGCTCCTTCCAGAGAGCCATCAAGGACCCAGAATTGTAAATGTGACTACATAAATACAGTATGATCAGCCAGATTCAGAAGCTTTCCTGGAAGAAGAAAATACCAGAAACTTGATCCAAGACAAAGCTTGAAACAATCTGGAGAAGCACAAATTGAAATTAAATCAAATCCTGATCACCTGTCTTTTTTTAAGCTAGTCAAGAAAATATGTAAATTTTCCATCTAAAAAATGGTTTAATTTGAATTACATTTTATTAAAATACTAAAACGCTCAGGGAAATAACTGAGCTGTTAACCAGCATAGTGACAGTACAGGCAGTGCCCACCTGACATGTGGATCGTATCTCAGGATCTGTAAGGACTCAGCTGTTTGCTCATCCTGTGGAGTGAGTGGGAAGGAGGAAGGGAAGGTTGCACAGAGAGACAAGTGCAGTCTGTACTAGCCTTTGCAGGGATGTGAGAGTCACTAGTCAAGTGCTAGCAGTGACCCAGCAGTGGATTCAACAGTTTTGCTGCTTAGATCCCAACCTAGGGGAGAGGACTGGGAGACAGAAAAGTGGGTGTCAGAAATAAGTTTCAAAGGAGATTTGGTACCTCAGGGCAGGGGATGGAGGTGAAGAAGAAAAGGAAAAGATGCTTCTCCCACTCCCATCAAACTCCCCGCTTCATTTCTTTTTGCCTTTCCTCTCCATATATCCACTATCTTTTCTATCATCTCCAATATGGTATCTCAAGTTGCTAAAGCTGTTTTCAGGGAGTTTTAGCACCACGTTGTCCATTCTCCCTCTTGAATACCTTATAAAATATCTAGTCAACTAGTCTGAGCTGGTACTAGAGTAAAAACACATCTCCTCACCCTGCAAAAAGCCCTATAAATTTTATAAAGCAATTGAATTAAAACATAAAATATTTTTAAGCTGAACCAATCTGGTATTCATGTGGTTCAATCTCCCATTCCACCATGGAAAATCCACAAATATTATTCATTTTCAAAACAGATTTAGGTGAGCAGTAGACTGTCGAATTATTATAGGTAGTATTCACATCCATTGACAGCCTGCGTTCCATTTATACAGCCCAATTTTTTACTTAAAAGTTGCTTTTCACAAGAAATGAATGCAAACTAAATATGCCTATGATTACATGACCTAGATTTAATGTTCAAAGAAAATTTTCATAAGGTTACATCCTTGGGATAAAATAGCAGGAGACAAGAGTGAATCATTTTCATTATCTTGCATCTTACTGCAGTGTATTTCCAAGTGTTATACCTTCTCACACCATCTCTCCTTTGAAGAGCTTTTAAAAATGCTTATATGGAAATAAATGAGATATCATATGAAAGCAGAAAATTCTGAAGAAAAAGGAACACAAATGAGAAGCAGTCAGTCAGTTCTCTATGAGCTAAAGAAAAGCTGATGTTAGTTTTAATATTAGCTGGAGGGAGATCTCTTATCTGGAAATTAAAAAAAAAAAAAGGAAATAATGCAAATAGGGGAAAAAAATGCCAAAGGGAGACTGCCAAGATTGGAGCATAAGCCTTTAGGAAAAAAGAGTAAGAAATAATTTTATTGAAAAGAAAAAAAAATCAGTTTAAATATGTGAAGTACTTTGTGTATGTTTTTCCATAGAATACTACTAAAATTAAATCACACACAGTAAACTAAAGGAATTAAAATAAAAGTTGAAGAAAAAAATATTACCCAAGAAATCTGACTACTCATAAGTATGATGAGGACAAATCACTTAGGTCACCAATATTTGGTTTTGTTCTTATCCTAAGAGCACTGTCCTACCTGCCTCAAATGTCTTATAGAACAATGAGAGGTGTAAATAAATAACTCATAAATAAATAAATAGAAAGATAGCATCTTCCTGGTAAATGCCATCGCGGAAGACAAGAGAACAGTCACAGACTGAATTATGAATGACAAGACTGTGCCAGATAGGTTTTAGATATTTTAACTTCACTTTTAGTGGTTTGAGCTTTCTCTAAAATGCAATGCAAGCTCTTGGCTGGAGGACAAAAAGTACTTGGGGTGCTTGTGAAAATGCAAATTTTAGGCTTCACACCAAGAAATACTCATTTAGAAGGTGAAAGATCCTAAGAATCTGCCTTTTTAAGCAGCTCCCCAGGAGATTATAAATGCAAATGGCCCACAGTCTATACTTTAAGGAAACTACAGCCTAAAATAAAAGACCTGCCTGTCTGCTCTGGAGATTAACATGTTTTTTGAGCAAAAAACCATGTTTCAGAGCCTTCAAATATTCTTCTGAACCGTCTTGTAACCTTAGGTAGCCAGTGAGTTATCCTAATGGAAACTATCTGTTCAGCAGTGATCAGAATTGTTTCCACAGGTTTCATCAAGCCACACCTGATAGTAATGTAGCTACAGATGGTTGTAAAATGCACACCAATGCTTTAAGACAACTGTACGGAATCCTTGACAAATGCTGCTTACAATTTTGTTGAATTTGCCTTACGAGAAATTTGAAAGATCTGCAAAGAAATGATATATATTACTCAAACATTTATTACTACTGTATCTAAAAATTCTAATTTGCTTCTCATTTCATTTGCTAGCAAAAACTCGCCAAGTATATTACACAGGAAGCTCCTTGTGGGCTCCTTTAACACTTAAGACCCATGCCTAGGAATTTTCTCTATGACTCTTTCTTATCTCCTTCCTTCCCATGTCTCTTTTTTCTTGATAACCAACCCTTCTCCCCTTATCCACATGTGCATACACCCACTTTGTGGGTAAGATATGCATTTTTGTCTCTGTCCCCTAGCAGTTGCAAATTGATTTCCATTCATCCCAAAATGAGCATTTCTGAGGGAAGAGTATGTGTCAGGCACTGTGGAGAAATGGACCCACAGACAATTACAATATAAAGTGGTATGTGCTATTAACAAAGGGATTGCTAATAAGAGAAAACTCTTCTTTCCTCCCAGCAAATTAAAAATAAAATTTTAGAGAGCTCCAGAATGCACAGCAAGAACAGCACCATAAAATTTGATTGAGTGGAGATGTGAAGTTGAGTAAGATGCAACAGAGGTTGTTTCTGACAGTAATTATCAGAGCCATTTCAATAGGCCAACAATATACGCCTGGTACATCATCATAGCCTAAGTCAGCTTCTCTCTAGCTTGTAGTGCAAGACCAAGAACTGGTTAGCATCCATTACTGACCTCACAAATCACAGGACTTATGTCTGAGGCCTGGACACAGAAAGGGTGGGTGAGGCAATGCCTAGGCTCTGGCCAACTTCACTGTCTTCCTCATGAGAAAAATGATCATGGGAGAAGAGGTGTTAATAGTATTGAAGTTTGTCCTCTAGTCTGTTCTGATCAATCTAGACCTGTAGAAGGGAGAGTACATTCACTGGTGGGCACTGGACTCAGGCGTAACTGAGAGTGACTAGTGGGGGCTTCCAAATTCTGACTGTACTGCATGAAATCTTTTTACACATGACCCACTGGGAAAGACAGAATGTCCTTCTGCTGCACCAACACCACTGTACTGGCTAAAAGTGATGACTCCTTTGTATGGAATTTCATATGAATACATTTTATTAATATTTTCTATTTTCTAACACCACTTTCATGTCAGAGCCAGAGGCAGAGAGGAAATCTCTTACCTATTAGTTCACAAGACGAAAATAATTTGTTTCCAAAGGAAGACTATTTCTTTGATAAATAGTCTAACCTAAGAATGAATTATTTTACTAGTGGCATGATTTTATAACATGCCCCTACTTTATCACTGAAGTCAAATCTTTTTATTTTTTAAGCCAGTTTAACTCAATATGCATTGCCTGCAGACCTCAGGCATTTGACAAAGAATAAAACACAGTCCAGTCCTCAAGGACTCATGGTGCCTTCAGGGGAGTAAGAGCTGGACCTTCTAACACAGCAAGGCAAGCATTATTCTGGAAGGGTGGGCACAGTGCTTCCAGAACACTATGGAGCCTGGGAGATCTGGGGAACCCTTACAAAGGGGGGACAACTGAGTTGGACTTTAAAGTGTGAAAGAGACTCTACCGCAAACGAAAAGAAGGGGAAAAACATTCTCAGCAAAGGGAACGTTAAAAAAAGGCTATGGGATGGAAAAGGGAAGGAGAATTTAGGGAACAAAGAGTATTTTGTGAAACTGAGGCACAAGGGAGAGAGATGTGGACGATGAATTTGAGGAGATGGGTTGCAGCCGGAACAGAAAGGACTTTATCAGCCACATAAGAGAGTGCATTTTATCCTGCAGGAAGGACAACATGGAGCCCTGAAGGTTTTTAAGGAGGGGTGTTGCAAGACCCAATCTGTGTTTTAGGAACGGAAGTGTGATGGCTGCTCAGGGGATGACAGAGAAGAGGCTCGAAGAGCAGTTAGCAGGCATTACATGTGAGACCCGTTCATCATATGCGTTGGGATGGCTCTATGCTCTTAGGCTCATAATCATTTTCCCCCATATGTGTTTTAGTTACAGCTGAGTTTCCCCCCCTTAAGTATATATATCAATGCTAATATATATTTTTTCTTACCCAAAATATACCATCTGTGGTTCATAAAATCACATTCCACATGACAGAGAGTAAACATTTAGGTAAACACTTAAAAGATAATCTCTTACCTGAACAAAGCTGTTCCACTTTTGTGTAGTTTAAAGATACTATGTCATTGACCCATGCGATGATGTCATGTCTGCTCATAGTCTCTTGGGTTATCGAGGTAGAATACACATTGACTGCCATTCCCCAACTAGAAAAAAACCAAACAAGTTTATATACCCACAGGGAAAAAATTAACTCAGAAACATAAAAGACACCTATTCAAAGTTGGGATCCCTGGCAGAACTCTACCTGGTATGTAAAAGTCCTGCTTTGGTTAAGCTCTTTCTCTATATTCTACATATTTGCTATAATACGATTAAATTTCATATATTCTTCATGCAGTACCATTTGACATCTCCTTCAACTGGACTCAAATGTTCTTCAGGTTCTGAGATTCCTAATTTCTCATGTAAGTTCGAGTCTCACTTTCGTCCTTCCATCGACGTGTAGAATTAAAAAGTTATCGCGTCTACAACAGTGTAGACTAGAGTAGTCTTTTAGCTTTATACGTTATTTCACAGTACTTGCATTACAAGTGCTTGCCAACAGTGCCTCCTCGGGCCTGCTCATCTTTGCAGATGTAAATGGCAGCTCCACCGTACCCAGGTGCTCAGGCTAAAAACACTATCACCATTCTTGCCGCCTCTGTTTCCCACCACCACATCCAACCCACCAGCAAATCCTTCTGGCTCCACCTTCAAAGTCTCTTCAGAGGCCGCTACCCTGATCCCAACTTCATCAGCACGCGCCTGGCATTTTGCAAGTCTCTCTGTTGGTCTCCCAGCTTGCAGCCTCGCTCCCACCACCTTTTCTCAACACAGCAGCCAGAGGGATCCTACTGGCATAAACCGGATCCCTTTTCTCCTTAGTTCAAAACCCACCAATGGCTGCTCACCTCAGAGTACAATCCAAAGTTCTCTCCAACTCTATAAGGCCTTATATATTCTGCTCCTTGATAGCTTCTCCTACTCCCCCCAGCCCCCAACCTCACTCGACTCCATCATGACCAGCCTCCTGGCTGTTTTTTGAACCCTTTAAGCTCACTTCTGCTTCAAGGCCTTTGCACTGCTGTTGCCTGAGCCAGGACTGTTTCCCGGGCAGTTTCGAGGCTCCCTCCCTCACTTCCTTCAGGCTTCGTTCAATGCCACCGCATCAAGGAGGCCTCCTCACCATTATCTCCTTATTCTTTTTCTCTTCATGGACAGAGGATATAAGCTCTGTGGGGGCAGGGATTTCATCCATTTTATTCTCTTAATATCCCTGGTGCCTAGTACAGGTCCAGAAACAGAGTAGGCTTTCAATAAAAATGTTGAATGCAAGAATGTGTTTTTTTTTCATATAAGGTAAGCAAGGCAGTAGGTAAGCTAGGAACATTTTTTAAACAGCTTTAGAGGAAATCCATCTTAGAAACAGGTTACATCTATATTTCATTAGGAAAAAAAAATCCTCACCTGACATTCTCTATCCCTAAAAGTTTTGGAAAAGCCTTGGGAAAAAAGTATTAAAAAGTATTCGAATAGATAATTGGGAAGACGAGTACTGCCTAATTGCATGAGTCTTCCTTTTATCTGTGAAAATGGGAAAGATGACTTATTTTGATTTTTTAATTGTTAACATACTCCTGACCATTTCACGACACCTACTATTTCCCAACATTTTCACTGGGAGTGGCATTTACTGGCCACCAGTAACAGAAAAGATTTGTTTTGTTTAAAATATTTTGATAACTATACCATAGTTCAGTGTAATTGGTTTCCTTTTTTTTAATTAAGGAACTTTAGTTTTTTAAAGCAGTTTTAGGTTCACAGCAAAGTTGAGTGGAAAGTACAGAGTTTTCCCATACACCCCCTTGTCCCCACACACATACAACCTCCCCCACTATCAACATCCCACACCAGTTGGTACATTTGTTACAATCAATGAACCTACATTGATCCATTATCATCACCCAAAGTCTAGTTTATATTAGGGTTCACTCTTGGTGTTGTACATTCTATGAAAGTTTTTTGGTATATGCAAAAGGAGAGAGAACAGAATAACAAATCAGTCCTGTTTACTTCTTGGCTTCAACAATTATCAATACTTGGCCAATCTTGTTTCATTTATACTCCCATCAATACTCTCTGCCACGAATCCCACCCTCTGTTCCCCAAGCCAGACTGTTCTGAAGTAAATGCCAAGCATCATATCATTTCACCTATTAAGTATTTCAGTATGTGACTCTAAAAGATAAGGACATTTAGGGGCCGGCCCAGTGGTGCAGCGGTTAAGTGCACGCGCTCCGCTTCGGCGGCCTGGGGTTCGCAGGCCCAGGTCTCGGGCATGCACGACGCACCGCTTGTCAAGCCATGCTGTGGCGGCATCCCATATAAAGTAGCGAAGATGGACGCGGATGTTAGCCCAGGGCCAATCTTCCTCAGCAAAAAAGAGGAGGATTGGCATTGGATGTTCGTTCAGGGGCTGATCTTCCTCACACACAAAAAAGATAAGGACATTTAAAAAACCAAAACCAAAACCAAACCACAATAGCATTATCACACCTAAAAATAAAAAGAATTTCTTAATATCAAATATGCATTATAATGTCTTATTTTGTTTCAGTTTGTTTAAATCTGGATTCAAATAAGGTTCATACATTGTGATTCTTTGACATGTACTTTAAGTTTCTTTTATCTATAGGTTTCTTCTCCATTTCTAATATTTCCCTTGCAATTTTTTTTTTTATTGTTGTTGAAGGAACTAGGTTGTTTGTCTTGTAGAGTTTCCACACTCTAGATTTTGCTCACTGCATCCCATTGGTGTGGTTTAATATATTCCTCTGTCCCTGGTACTCCTATAAACTGGTAATTTGATCAAGAGGCTTGATCTGATTCAAGTTCTAATTGGGGGAGGGGAGCAAGACTACTTCATGCAGTGTCTGAACTTCCATCAGGGGGCACATGTCTGACTCCTTTTGTGATACTGTTAGCCATTGATGGTATTTACCGAGATCCAACAATTCTTTAGAGACTTCGAAATATTCTATTATTCATTTTTGATTTATTAGCTGGAATAATTTTACAAAGAGAAATCTCCCCTCTGGGGTACCGATCATATAATAAAGGCAGGATGGATGCCTGATTCTTTCTCTTTTCTTACCAGTTTTCAAAATAATGAGATAGTTCTCTAATATTCTCCAAACATGACCAATGAGATTTTTTGTTTTGGAAGTATAATTATAAACTCATGGATTTAAACATATTTGATATGTTTCAATCCACCGCAGTTTATCTCTTTATTGATATAAGCTTGCAAGAGCTTATTCAAGCTGGCTTATGAGTTCTTTTGAACCAGGTCCTTGTAGTCTTTGATAACTTCCTTGCTTTCTGGTATGACAAACTGTTCCAGGCTCAACTTGTACATTTCCTGCCTTAGACCTAAAACCAGTCACTTCTCCAAGGGTTCCTTATTCTTTTAGTCACAAATGGTATTTAGAGATAAATAAGTAATATTGTTAAGCATGACTATATAGCATGGAAAAATCTAGTTTTACACAAAAATCTATATATTTATGAAATAGTTGTGTCTGGAGTTCTTATTAACTCTAAAGCAATAAAAATCTGCTTTCTACTTAAAGTGCTAAATATTTTATTTATAAATAAATATAAAAATAAATAAATATCCATCCATCCCCAGAAGCACCCTCATCTCTAAATTTTCTCCCCCTGAAGACCTGAAAAAAAACTCACTCATGGCATTGACATCTCAGATATAACTATAGTTACTGCTTTTCTACAACATCATTAAAGATTTTTTGGTTAATAACTTCCCCTGTTTTCTTCAGTCTATCATTTATTAAACAAAACCATTTGCTTTTAATACCTAGTCAATTTTGTATCAACTATGTAAGTTACATAAAATCTTAGTAAAGATAATTCAAAATTTAAAATATTTTGGACTGTTTGATATAATTTTCATATACTGGCATAACTTTTGGCAGTTGATGTACTTTTCTAATGTTTCTTCCTCAAGCAGCACTGAAAAGCTTTTGCTGTACCAAGCAATGTATTGATTGAAGATGAGGCAATGAGGCCCAGACTGTGCTGGATGGCATCAAGCCAAATTGGGATGCAATTTTTGCTCCAGATGATTTAAAAACAAAACTAAACACAATGCAGGAGAGAGACAATCAGACTGGCATTTAGAAAGATAATCTGTACACAAATGAGTAACGATGTTCTGTGGTTATATAACAGCAAGACATGTACAACAAAAGGACAGGTAGAAGAGTTATGATAGCTTTTAAAAAATCCATGAGAACAAAGAAGCAAGTCATTTGCTGCAGGTTCTGTCAATGAATCACACTCCTTTATTGATAATGTTCACCTAAGGACAACAATCCTTCCATATCTAAACAGCCTTTCAGCTCACAAAGGCAAGTCAAGCACTATCTGCCTTCAAGGAGCTCATTAAGATGACCAGGTAAACAGTGAAACAGCACCTGATTTTTGCTTTAGAAAAACTCCAATTAATTAGTTACTGGACCCCCCACCTCTAACCTCTACCACATCCCCTCTCTAACCAACACAGCTGCAGTCCCCAGAAACCCTGCAGTAAGAGCAACCATGTGTTAAGGGCCCTGTGGGAAAACCAGGATAGAGGACAGACCAAGAGTGAGGGTGAATCAATGATTATTAGGAAGATTTTCTTACATTTTCTAAAATAAAGCAATGACAACACATTAAAGAAATTGCCATTCCTACTTCAAATTAAAGCAATGGAATCACTACAGCTAATTTCTATTTACCATCCATCCTGATCAGAATATTCTTATAATCTATCTTCCTCCAAATTTCACCAAGAGACTTCTAAATTCATTTCACTTTTGCTCCCTCTGTTAGTTCCCCATCCAAATCCGGATGCCTTCTGCTTTCAGCGAGGGCCCTGTGGGTCCAGATTCCTTCTCCACAGAAGGAGAAGAGCTCTTCCTAACCTCTAGTAAGTCAGACGGTGGCCAATGTGGAAAGAGAATTCTATTCCTGCTCTGCCATCCACTCTTTTCTCTTCCCAATTTCTTCAGCTCTCTCTTTTTCTACAGGTTCAACTTCAATATAGTCAAGCCTAAATTATCCAGGTAGCTAAACAGTTCAGAGAAGAAAATTTATATTT